CAGATACAGAACAGATGGGAGGTTCCAGCTGGACTAGTGGTGAACTATTCAGGAGAAAGATATTGTCTTAACTCAGTGTGGAAGGCAAGAGATATTTACACCAATGTACTAAAGGCTGGATGCCCACAGTCCCCAGAAGCCAGAAGGAAGCCAGAAGCAGAGGGGGCAACAAAGGGGGAGAAGGAAGAATCGCTGGCACAGGCCCAAAGGGGAGCTTTGATTACTCAAGAAGATTTAATACAACTTTCAACTACTGCTCAAGCTTTGAAGGTATTCGATAAAATAGAAGAACCTAAGGATCAAAGACAGACCCGAGTGGCAGCCAAGCGTCAAGAAGCATTAAGATTGCAGCAACTACAGATGATTCAAGAAACTACAAAAAAAGAAGCAGTGGAAGGAGCAAGACCAAAAAGCAAAATGCATGGAGATTTCCAGCAGATGCTCCAAAAGCTTCAGGTGGCCAAGAATGGCAACTAGATTTCTGACTTGGAATGTTAATGGCCTAAATTCACCACAAACCAGGAGAAAAATATTTCATTATTTGAAACAGTTTAAAAATGATGTAATCTGTCTACAAGAGACTCATATTAGAAGGAAAGATCAAAAATACTTAATAAATGCAAGGTTAGGCATACATTTTGTTGCATCTGCCTCCAAGAAGAAGAATGGTATAGTTATATACCTAAAAAAAGACATAATTGCTAAATTAATTGAAGCAGATGATCAAGGAAGATTTATAGCAATTGAACTTTTAATAAAAGGAGAAAAAATACTTTTAATTGGAGTCTATACACCGAACCAACAACAGGAAAAATTTTATAAGTTTTTACATTCCAAGTTACTACAATGGGATTATAAATCATGTATTTTACTGGGCGATTGGAATGGAGTTTTGGACACTAAAAAAGATAAGAAGGGGCTCTTGCAGAATATCTCAACGCGTGCCAGATTGCCAAAATCGTTTTTTGAAATGATGGATGATATGGAGTTGAGAGATATCTGGCAAGAGAGGAACCCCGAAGAAAAAGACTTTACCTTTTTTTCCTGATAGACATCAATCTTTCTCTAGGATTGATTTCATATTAACTACTAATGATATTTTTTCTAGGGTGAAGAAGACGAAGATCTGCCCAAGAGCTTTAATGGATCATAGTCCAGTTTGGATGGAATTAGAGTATGGAATGGGATTTAAGAGGTCTTGGAGGTTAAATGAAAATCTGTTTAGATATGAGGAAAATGTAAAAGAATGTAAAAAATTTATGAAAGAATTTTTCATTATAAATATGCATAAGGGTACATCTATGGAAATGGTTTGGGATGCAAGTAAAGCATATATGAGAGGTATTTTGATATATTTGAATAATAAACATAGACATAAACAGGAAAAAAAAGGAAGGACTTAGAAGAGGAAATTTTTTAAAAAAGAATAAGCTTTGATAAATTGCGAGGGCAATTTAATATGTTAATGGCAGATCAGGTCGTAACTAATTTGCAATATGCTAAACATAATACTTTTTGCAATGCTAATAAACCAGGGAGATGGTTAGCATATTTGTTAAGGAAAAAACAAAAGTCACGGATCATAGAGAAAATAGAATATAAAGGTAAAGAGGTTTATCAGCAAAATATGATTAAAAAAGCATTTTTAGAATTTTATACGAGGTTGTATGCTAGTGATAAAATTCTAAGTATAGATATAGATAGATACTTACAGAAAGAGAATATTCCTACAATTACAAAAGAGCAAAGGGAAGGTTTAAATCAACCAATAACTTCCGAGGAGATTATGTTTGCAATTAAGCAGTTGAAAGTGGGTAAAGCTCCTGGGACGGATGGTTTGACAGCTGCTTACTAACTTGCAGTTAGAACTGGTGGGACCACTCAAAGAATTATTTACTAACATACAATCTAGAGGAAATGTACCCCCATCCTGGAGGACAGCTTATATTTCTTTGATTCCAAAGGAGGAGCAAGACCACACCCAGCCAAAAAATTCTAGGCCTATATCACTTTTAAATACAGATTACAAGATTTTTGCTAAAATACTAGCAAATAGGTTAATGACAGTCATACAACAAATGATTCATAATGATCAAACTGGTTTTATAATTGGTAGACAAATGAGAGTAATGTAAGGCAAGTTGTTAACCTATTGGAGTATTTGGGAAAGAACAACCAAATCCCTGCGGTGCTGATATTTCTTGATGCGGAGAAAGCATATGATCGATTGAATTGGCAATTTTTATTGAAAATAATAGAAAAGATGCAGTTTGGAGAATATTTTACACAATCTATTCAGGCAATATATCAGAAACTAACAGCGCAAATAATAATTAATGGTAGTTTAACAGATACTTTTAATATAGAAAAGGGAACAAGACAAGGATGTCCTTTGTCTCCATTATTGTTCATCTTGACCTTGGAATTTTTGTTAAGTAAGATACGTGGGTCGGACAAAATAAATGGAATTAAAATTAGGCAGTATGACTACAGATTACGAGCATTCGCAGATGACTTGGTTGTTACTTTAACTCAACCATTACAGTCGGTTGTAGGTTTAATGGATATAATTAATCAATATGGACAAGTATCTGGATTTAAAATAAATGCAGGGAAAACGAAGATAATAACTAAAAATATGACTATAAATCAAAAAGATGAATTAGAAAGACTAACAGGATTTGAAATTGTAAAAAAAATTAAGCATCTAGGGGTCTATATTATGACATCAAATGCAAAATTATTTAAGCATAATTATGATCCGTTGTGGCAAAAAATACAGAGAGAGATGGAACATTGGAAAAAATTACAATTATCTTTGTTAGGAAGAATAGCAGCAGTAAAAATGAATGTTTTGCCTAAGTTTTTGTTTCTTTTTCAAATGATACCAATACTTAAAAAAGATGAGAATTTGAAGATATGGCAAAAGGGTATTAATAACTTTGTCTGGGCAGGGAAGAGACCGAGAATAAAACAAAAAATAATGCACGATATATGTGAAAGAGGAGGTCTCAAAATGCCCAATTTAAGATTATATTATGAGGCAGCTGTTCTGTCAGCAATTAGTGACTGGATGAATTCAACATAAGAAAGAATATTGAATATTGAGGGATATGATTTGGTTTATGGTTGGCATGCTTATTTATTATATGATAAGAAAGAGCACAAGACTTATATTAAGAATAATTATATTATATTAAGTCCTATATTAAGAAATGCTTTATTGCATGTCTGGAAAAAGTATCAGTATAAATTAAACAATAAATTACCAATGTGGGCAATACCCAGACATGCGATAGAGAATATAAGTGTAGAGCAAAAACAAGATGTGATTACTTATAAAGAGCTTCTTAATAAGGAAGGAGGTATGTTACAACTAAAATCTTTGAATCAATTAAGAGAAGAAAGGATAATTCAAACATGGTTTCAGTATGGACAGTTGCAAGCTAGATGGAGAGAAGATCAGAAAATTGGTATCTTGCAAAATGAGGAGAACTTGGTAAAACAAATTAGAGACCAAAGTCAAATGCATATAAAAAGGTTGTATAATGCATTGGTAGAAATAGATTCAGAAACAGAGCTAGTTAAGGACTGTATGATAAAATGGGCACAAAATATTGAAGAACCAATAATGATGGAAACGTGGGAAAAAATATGGGTTAGAAATGTAAAGTTTACGCAAGCCCAAAACTTAAGAGAGAATTTTTATAAAATGTTTTATAGATGGCATCTAGATCCTAAAAAGCTAGCCTGTATGTATCCAAGTTTGCAACCTAAGTGTTGGAGATGTGAATGTGATGATGCCACGTATTATCATATATGGTGGACATGTAAAAAAATCAAGGCATTTTGGATAAAAATATGGTGGATTATCCAAAACATTCTCAAAAAGAAGATAAAATTTATTCCACAGTTCTTTTTGTTAGGTATAATTACAGATTGTACGGTCATAGAAACTAAGGAGGGAAGGTGGGGAGGAGGGATGGGTAAAAATTGTTGTAATACTTGTTAAAACTTTTTAATAAAAAATAAATTTTCTGAAATCATTGTTCTTTGCTCAAGCTCTAAAAACTTGCATGTCTAAATGCTGCAATGCTAGACATCCTAAAAAATATTGAGACTAATTCCTGGTAACCAAATGGACAAGTCTATATACATATTTTAACAATAAAATACAAATAGTCTGGAACTTTTTCCTGCTTCTGTTGAGATTTTCCCATCAAATTTCAGCCAGCTTGGCCCTGTTTAGCCTTTTCTAGATGAGTCAAGGTTATCTAATGGCTCCTATCTGGTCTATTGTTGGCTGAATGCTAATAACATTCAATAGCTGGACAGAATATATTCTTCCATCATATTTTGATAGGAGACTTGAAAAAGCTTAAGGTAACTCATCAGTTTCTCATTTTATAAAATGATCGCTTGAGATGTGATTATTAGAAATGAAAGCCATGTGCCCTTATGCAAGTTTGTTAAATATAATGGCTCTAATAATATACAGTGGTGTTCAGTTTGCATTTTTGTACAATCACTTTTAAGAGGAAATCCATTATATACTGTGTTTCCCTGAAAATAAGATGCATCCTGAAAATAAGCCCTAGCTTGATTTTTACATGTATGTGTATGAATGTGTCTGTATATGCATGGGTATGTATGTTTATATGTATATGTATAGTTAGATGATAGATAGATAAATAAATAGATATATGAAAAAACTGCACTGTCAGCAAGTATTATCCCATAGAAAATTATCTCTATATGGTAAAGAATGTGCATGCAATGCAAACGTTCCTTCTTGTATCTTGGTAAATATAAAATATGGATGCCGAGGGTCACATGAAAAATAAATGATATTAAAGACTAGTTTCCAAGTATGTTAGAAATATGCTTAATTGCCTGGGAACCTATGAAGGCTTTGAGATTCTCATGAACTTTTCAGCAACCAATCAATATACTAAAAATTTTTATATACACAGTAAAATAAAAGAAAAAAGAGTAATTACATCTTCATCTCTTTCCAACTCAAGGCCAGCCTGCATAAGGTTGCTTTCATACTCTTCTCTGCGGAATCTCTTGTCATCTTCATGATAATCCATGTGAGGTGCACTTTCATCCATGCTAAGCTGCCCTCCTTTTCCAGGAAGTGGTTTATCTTGCTTAACGCTTCGAGGCTCCAAATCATTGAAATGGATTAGCCGAGCGAGTGTCCTACTAAACTTCTTGTAGTGGTAAACCAGAATATAATCCACTTTTCTTTTGCCATCTCTAAAAAAAAGTCCATATTTGCAGTTGGCATCTGGATCTTGTGAGAATGAATTTAATAGCTGTAAATGAAATGAAAGAGATTGAAAAAAATGTTGACATTAAACATGAAAATAGTTAAGGATTTAAATAGTTATTTTTGGACACAGCAAAGATCACCAATGGGTAATTTTGCCAGACTGTAAACTTACAAAACACTGCTCTTTAATATTTAAAACTTTGTTGGTGGGTCAGGGGCCTGAAATGGTAAACAAAGAACAAACAAATAACAAGCCATCTGAGGTAACAGATGACTTCACTCATTTGTTTTGCACAGTACACTGGCTTTGTGAAATCTGTATGTTAAGATCTCAAATTACTGTATCCTGAAAATCATTAGCTGATTTTCAACTAGAGATACAGATCGCGTTAAGCGCTTTGGGTTTTTTGTTTAATAGTGTGTTAAACATGTGTTGAAATCACATGCTTTACTCCAGAAAGGATATTTGTCTTTTTACTACTGACAAATACATTAATATTACATTCAAATATTTGTCACTTTTCTTCAACATCTGAAGAAAAAGAGATCAGTTTTAATAAAGACTGAAAGAAACCAGCTGGTCATACAGCTCAGCCAAAAAGATCCATGGACTTCGGCCAGTAAGGGACCAAGGTTCAGTTTTTGCTTCATTCGTGATTTTTTCTCATGGAAAATTAAAATGGAAATACAACTGTCATCCTACCCCCTGCAGTTTTGTGATAACTGGAAGTCATATTGCAATTAAAGTTTGCATTTTTCAAAAGATACGTGCTTCTTAAAAATAGGTTTCTGAGTAAAAAAAATGTAAGGGTTATGAATCTCAATTTATCTTCCATTAGAAGTATTTGTTGCTTATTTGTAGATCATGATTAAGGAAACCATGGCTTAGTGTAATGTATGGGCACATTTAATGTGGATAAACCAAGTTTACTCAGAGATGTACAGCAGGATCTGATTTACAATTCCTAAAACAATTACGGCATTTAGGATTGTTATTTTATTCCCTCAAACTCTCAAACTAAAATGTAGGTCACAGGATAGAACTTCTAAACAGAAGATAGCTTTCAAAATGCTGAAGTATCAAGTGCTACATAAATAGATGCACCTGTAAAGACTTTTGCAACTCACTACATTAGGAAAATTTGATACCTTAGAATCACCATATGACTAAAAAGATTGAGTTACTTTGGGCAGTGAAAACTCATGCTGATGTTTCAGATTGGGAATGCCATTTATAAACCTAGTTATCCTTAATTAAACAAAGTATTTCAAATCATTACTTTATTGGACTATAAGAAGAAAGAAAACCTTCAATGCTTCCAAGTTTGCATGTGTGGTCTTTCTCCAGAGACCACTTTCTATAAATTGGACTGAGGCATAAAAAACAGATGCTTCCTTTTTAAGGGAAAAAAATTTAATCCATCTTTTTTTATACTTTTTGACAAAGATACTCTGACTTTTTGAGTCTGTGAAGTCTTTTTGTTTAAGAACTTTAGTAAGTTTTAGTATATAAATTTTAGCTAAGGTGACTAAAATGCCTTTAAAATCTGCGGTAATAGAATTAGTTGGGTGTTTAAGGTTATGCTAGTCCATGATGGAAGACTGCATATAGACAATTTAATTTTTTAGTGATCTGTTAAATCTGTTGTAGATTTCAACATTGTGTCTTTGCTATTTTTTATTTCTTCTGTTTTTGTTCTGTCTACATTTATTGTAGGGGACCTATAAACAGTTTTTAAAATTTTTTAATCTTTTTATTCAGGGTGTGTGCCCCCCCCTCTCTCTATATATATACACATACACACACGTACATAAACACAATTTACTTTTCCATTCATTACCACTGACAATGTCTAATTAGTTTCTTGTTACATGTGTTTGTATTGCTTTCATGTCATGTTTACTTATTTATTTATGACAGTAAGAAACCTAGGCAGATTTCTCCACTGGAAAAACATGGTTGGTTCAAGTCCTCTAACACTCTCTCAAACCACTGAATCAAACTTGTATTTGATTCATAGTTTTGCAATTTATAAGAAATTTAAAAAGGGCACAAGATTCTATTGAATGCAAATTGGTTCCTTTTCAGCTACATGGCTTCATTCAATTCCCTATTGCTTGTAAGAATTGTCTAGGGGTATAAAAATATTGAATTTAACAATCATTATACTCCACCCACAAATGGAGTATATTGATTAATTTTATTAATTTTTTTAATGTTCCTAACTAGCATACCACAGTACAATTTGGACTTCCAAATATTTTGAATCAATATAAAAATGTTGCTTCCATAGTTGGCTCAATGAATCCTTAATGTAATCCTTTCAAAGAGCTGCTCCCCACACACTTACTATTATGAATTACCATGGCACCATAATTCCATGCTTACATATATCCCCCATTCTGACCAAATCATCTAGACACAGGAATATATTCTTTCCCCTTTAATGTTTGTATCATGGGAGAGAGACATGTAAGTGTTATACACCCTAATTATACACCCTAATTGCAATAGGTGTCTCTAAAAGTATTTTTTTCAGGTCATTACATTATTACATTATGTTATTGTTACACTAATTTCAATTTTTTATTGGAAACCCCAGAGTTAAATTTTATAACAAAACCTCTGTTCTTAAAAAGGACATATAAAGCCTGACTGCATATGCATTCAGTTATTCCTGCCAAATGCCATATAAATTCACTAACCAATAAGTAATTATTAATGGAAAGGATACAAATATTTTCTCTCCCCCATTTCTGAAAGGCAATTCAAGTTTTATGACTTTGCAAGTCATAGTTCTTCTAAATTCTTCTCTTAGTGGGGTATTTACAATGCTCTATTAAGAAGCAAAACATCGTGTTTCAATTTTCTTAACCTACTGTCTTTTTTATTCTTAATTTTTATTAGTTTACTCAATCACAATCCTATGTATTAGCAAGGTTTTTTAACCATGCCATTTGTACTGTTATAACTTTGTCTTCTCTACATATATGGATTTCTAAGCCTATTAACTTCATTCTTTTATTTGTATTTGTTTGTTAGATTTATATCTCTGTTTTTTTCCAGGACTACATGGCACTCCTTCCTCCAGCTTCTTTCCACAACAACAATCCTGTGCAATTCAAAATCATCCCTCAAATTTCAGTAGCTATTCATAGATTTGGACCTTGGTCCCTCTGTCTTGCTCCAATACTTTAATTGCTATTTCTTGAAAGCTTTTGCCATCCTATTTGATAAGTTAAAATTTGATTTTTAAAAAATAGTTGAAACAATGAGCTTTCAAAATTGATTATATATACAAAATTGGCTTATGAATATGTTAAGATTGTCACTTTGTTTCTGATAATAACTTACAAAATAAGCATATTGATTTAATTTAAAAATTCAAATTAGACCTGACTTTCCATGTCTGTAGGTTAAATACCACTAATAATTTAATTCTGATAAATAGTCACATATTTTTGAGGATTGCATTGATGTAAATATAAAAAAACCATTAAACTTACTTTGAAAAGTTATACAATGTGGGTACTTAAAGATAAAATTGATATCAGTGCAAAAATCAGAAACTCTATATATTATTTCTGTAATGCAATTAGATGCAAAATAGTTACTTACATATTTGTGTGTTTATGCATATATATGTATTTGTATGTGTGTATACAGAACAATTGTAAAGGCATACACACACACACAGATGTCTGTCTTTTTTCCTATACGGTTCTTCAGAATGATGCTGTTCCAAAAAAACCCTTTTCATTCTTATTTTTTATAAATGACCAAAAAAGCTATGCCATGTTTTTAGTGACTAACAACAGAGCCCAGGAAGAGAATACTGTGAGCTGTACAACGTCAGCCACAAAATTGTATGGCACTAGGGAAATTAAGCTGCATTACCTAGGTGCCTCCTGAAACCACAGACCAGGTGAGCAAGCGGCTCTTTTACTCACCGTACTTTCTGTGCGAACATAGCCGATGTCTTCAATAGCTCTGATGTTGATGATGTGGATTCCCTTCTCCTCGGCAGGTAATGTGGAGTATTTCTCATTCATCCTCATTGTTGTTTCATTAGAAGCATCTCTGAAATTTTCTGGGAGAAACTCCACCCCATGAAATGAACCGTCAGGGTCTAAAGAAAAGAGAAACAGCTTAGCTTAGAGCTTTTCATGGTATCTCTTTTCCAGCTGGAACATGTCCAGGACTGCCTCTCCCCCTGTCTTTTGTTGTCTGAAAGGACCTCCCCTGTCTTCTCTCCCTTATGCTCCCCAGCTCTACTCTGAACACTTGTATGCTTTGCCCAGGTTCCTTCTTGGCATTGGCTCAGCTAATCAGCACTGTAGAAAAGATTTCGTGTCACAATATAGATGCTGCCAGACTCTTTAGACTGCAGTAGCAGCTGAATGAATTGAATGTCTAATTAATTGTTTCACAAACAGCCATTACAAATTCATTGTCCTCAACACACAAACAAATAATAGTAGCATATAAGCAGAACAAAACAAGAGACCCACACGGAATATGCTGCATGCTAACTTACCTACACAACCGTACCGTATAAATAATGTTATAGTCAGAACACAAATTGAGTCGATTCTGTCAATTGTAAATAATTATGAAATTTTAAACAATGACAATGTGCCAGTGTATATACCTGAGCCCCTATACTGTTACAAGTGTTAACAATGTAAGATGTAAGGCAGAACAAATGTATTACTTAATCAACAGGAAATCATAAAAAGGTGACATGTAAATACTTCAGTAATATAAAGCTGTAATCTAGAAAGTAAAAATGAACTTCTAGTAAATTCCAGGATAAGTGTAATTTAAATCCCAACTTTTGCATCACCAGTACATTATATAGATGCTGGTTTACTTACAAAAGTGTAATAGGGATGCATTATAACACAACGCATTTATCTCAATTGTCAGTATGTTATACTAAAACAATACCTTTATTGTGATTTGTTTTTGAGATTGCCATCACTCCTTTAGTCACTATGTGAGGATAACAGGGTGATTCAAGGCTTTTCACACCTCAAGTAATCTATAATCCTGAATCTTATATTAAGAATGAGATGGTCTAATGAAGTTGGTATTTTAAAAGATCCAGAGAAGATTAGACATGCATAACTTGCTTCTCAAATTATTTTCCCCCATGAAGCACAAAGTTTGGGTGCTGCAGGCAAAGCTAACTATCATGCAACTATTGGCAGCGCATCTCCAACTTTCCTGTATGAAATGCTATGTGCAACTATATTTGGGACCTTCTTGTAGGCACATGATAGAATGCTCTGCAACAGAGGGCAATCTTCATTGTGACACCTGTTGAATTGATACAGCATAAAAGAAAAACTATGAACCCAATCTGCCACAAATAAAAAAATATGACTAGAACACTAATTGAAACTTTTCTCAAATTAAGGCTGGAACTGGAACTGACATGTTCTTTTGAATCAGCACTTATTATAATTTTAAAATTCTGGAAAAAATATTGCTTGAGCAAAATATTACCTAAAACACAGTCATTTTTTGAAGTTGAGCTGTTCCCAACTATCTTAGAGAGCTTGCAAAGCTTGATAGTAATGGCTCAACAATTAATAAAATCACAGACAATCAGGTCAAGGATAGGTTTTTTTCCCTTCTAGTTGAAAAGGGTAACTCTCTGTGTGCTGTATCAAAACCCACTTTGAAAAAGCAGGTAGGATCAATCCCCTAAAAGTTGGATACTGAGGCTAGTTGCAAAACGTTCTGGGCAGGGATTGCCTGACATCAGTTCTATGTGCTCTAGTAACCTCTTGGCTGGATTTCTGCCATGTGTTATATGTGGGGCTATTTTGGAAGTTTTGGAAACTTCAGATAGTCTAAAATAAAGTTGTAATGTTATTAACTGGAGCTGGTCTAATCCATATTATGATATTAAGTCAATTTCATTGGCTTTCTCATTCCCTTTTTTCCCAAGGCCCAATTTACGATTGTAGTGCTAATTTTTAAAGAACTGAGTGGATTGTGGCCAAAATAGCTCAAGGAATGCTCCTTCTTATGCACTAGACTGATGAATTAAATGCAGGAGGTTTACACAATTATATAAGGAGGATGTTTGTTGAATTCTTGAAAGAGAAGAAACTTTATTCTAAATATTCCCAGGTCTGCAGAAGTAATCAGCTTGTTTCCTTGAGTTGATACTTTTAATATAATAAGAATACATAAAACAAATTAACTGAATAATTTGCAGTTTCATAGGTACGTAATTGGTGCAGGAAGCTATTAACCCATCATTTGTATTCACAATTATTTTACACTAGAGCAATACTATATTTAAATAAACTGATAATAAAATATACAAATTTTCCCTAATGGTAATTTGGTTAGATAATTCTGAACCAAAGCAAGTTCACCCTCTGGCAGAGAAACTAAACCATTTCTTCTTCTAGATCCATTATCCTTTGGCTTGAAAGAGATAGGTATTTCTGACAGTGACAATTCTTCCTTCCTTCCTCCCTCCCTCCCTCCCTCCTATTGGCAACAGAAAAAAATCAATTACAAATGCTTTGTGGATTGGTTTCATAAAACAGATGTAAAAGCTGACCTGTGACCCCTGTCGGAAACATGTTAAGATGTAAAGAGACAGCCATGCTTGCACATACTTGCCTCCAAACTTTATTTGGTGTAATATTGGCACATTATTACTGGGTTAAAATGGAGGTCTACAGTTGTCCTTAATTCCAATGAACATGCGAATATGATAGATCATGATTCAGGTGCATATTTAATTATTATTTATTATCTTAAATACATCACAGAAATAATGGCCAGGTGAACATATATAAACTGGACCTTGGTATTGTATTTAGTTGGCATAAATTATATTTGTAGTATTATGAAGAAATTTTACTCATAACAAGATTATGTGGGTTAGCCCAAATAAAGTAACATCCCAACCAAATCCTTTCAGAATCAACTCAAAAAAGCTGCATATACAATTTTTTGACAATAAACTCTTTTGGGAATAAGCAGTCAAGCAGTCCAATATAATTGGACTGCTTGACTGCTATCCTAGATATACTTAAAGAGAAGATAGTATCTGTAATATCAATCCTGAAGCTCAGGATTGAACTATAGAGTCCTTGGTGCTGTCTTAGCTTTGTTATTTGCTTGTAGATGATGCTATCTAATCAGGTAATGAAATGTATGCAGGCAGAAAAAAGTTAGAACAGCATCAAGAAGTCTACATACTTGAAGAGCTATCACTTCCAACTGGTACATTCAGCATATTAATCACATTATTTAACCAAAAGCAATATTTTAATAAGACCATGTCTACTGAAAGTTCAGACATTATGATAACAAGAAGTGTTTTCATTGTTGCTTCACTATGTGGAAAGATCTACTACTGAAGGCTTAAGAAATCTTACCAGTAAATTCTTTGTGCCTGAGCTTATTCCAGAAGCCACAGTTAAATTGACTGTAATGAACAAGCATTGTGATCTATTTGGGGAATGTTGTATTGTATTTTGAATAAATTAAATGTTAATTTCAATGTTACAATAACTTTTTAAATGGGGCATGTTACTTACTGTATTTCAAAATTAAACACAATTATTTTATGTATAAAATATTTTTCTAAAACATCTAGTTTAATCATTTTGTTTTCTCAATCAAATAACACATTTCATAATAATGTGTTACTTTTAGAATACAGCAGTGCCAAAGGGATAATGAATAGTAGTTGCTGTCTGTCTATTTACAAATGCACACATACACACCCATACACACACACACTGTATATAGATTCTTAACATTCTTTACTATTCTTAATAGGTAAAATTATACAAAGAGTAGATGCAAGGAAGTAAACTATAAACCTTTCATTCAATTATTGTAAACTGAAGCACTGTAAGAGTAAGTGAATTTCCGGAACCACACAGGAAATATTTGTTAGAGTCAAGTATTTGCTCAATCCGTGAACACTAAATCCATCATTTTAATATCTGTACTTCCCCTTTTCTCACTTACTTTATGTTCCATAAATATCACAGATAATGTAAAATAAATAGTGTAATTAGGACTTCATATGTGCTTGTTCCATCAAAAGCAACTAAAGTTGCTAATGGCTGAGCCTTTCTCATTGTTATCAGCCATTCAGTCATGTCCAACCCTTGGCCACTCAATGGATCAGCATTCTCCATGATTCTCTGTCATGGTCATCCTGGTATCATTCTTTATAGCGTCCAGACAATAGGTACTAAGGTGGCCCTTCTCCTTTTTCCGCTGATCACTCCTAGCATGATTGACTTTTTGCGTGAGTCAGCTTGCATGACATGATCAAAGTATGACAGCCTTTGTTTGGCAATCTTGGTTTCAAGTGATATTGAAGTGATACTTCCTATGCTTATTGAAATAGCTTGAGTCACATTACTCAGAAAGTAGGCCTTAAAAGAAGGGGTATTTATACCCTCAGCAAAAATCCTTTTGTTACTCATCATCTGTACATGACAAAATGAAGAGACATCATTCTTGCTCTGAATTAAATGATTCAGTTTCATTCAATTTTTCTGATAGGAATTGGTTCTCACAAGTGTTTCAGTAGAACAAATGGTTGATAAGAAGGAGAAAGAAGTTTGGTGAGGCCCTGAAGGAAAGACGACTAAGTTGGTGAGCCTGATTGAACCTACAGGCTAGAGCAGGGGTGTCAAAGGCCCACGGGCCAGATCCAGTCCACAGGGTGCTTAGATCTGGCCCATGGGGCCGTCCTGGCACACCCAGCCGGCGGTGCTTCTGCCAGCAAAAATGGAGCCCAGGAGGGCTGCATGTGGCTCCCCTGGCCTCTGTTTTCACTGGCAGAGGGCTTCAGGAGGCCATCCAGGCTGAAAACGGGGCTTGTGTGCGCCCCGTTTTTGGTCCATTTTTGCTGTCAGAGAGCTAGCAAAACAAACTAAAGGCAAAATAAAACAAAAAGTGAAATGTTTCCCCCTTTGCTTTTGAGCATCCAAGAAGGGACAGGAAAGGAGAAAGGGAAAGAGGAAAGACAAATAAAAAGAAAGAAAGATGGGAAGAGAGCAAGGAAGGAAAAAGAAGAGGGGAAGGAAAAAGAAAGGAGAATGAAGATGGAAGAGGAAAGGAAAAGAAAGG